CGTGGCTGTCTGTTGCTGACGCGACCAGTGTCAGACCGGTCACAGATCGGTCATTCTTGTCCTCTATGCGTCAGTTCAGCGATCTGCATGATCACCCTTCTTTTTGTAGCATCTTGCCTGTAATGGTTGGGATGAAGCCTGGTATTCATCTAACCAGGGCTAACGTGCCATCTCTAAGAGGTAACACGCTAGCTCCGGCTGGAGACGTGTGCCTAGAGGCTCTCGTCTTGACGGGACGGGGCGAGGCGTGCGTCAGACCGCCAGTCGCCACCTAACCGTTGATCTGACCGGTCTGTGACTGGTCACAGACCGGATAAAAGAGCGCGCTGCATTGCGCTGCATGCAGCGTGACACGCTTGACCAGACCGCAATAAATGCGGTTAGGTGAGCCCTACCGTGTTCACCCAACCTATGTACATAGTGCAAACCCCACAGGGGGTCGGGGCACCTCGGCCCTCGGGGCCGGGGCAAGAGCAACCCGACCCCCCCTCGGGGAAATCAGGAGGAGGGCGGACACCTCACCCTCGGGCCCGACGTCCCCGAAGGTGCCAGGCCACGTGGGCGATTCCATCTGCCTCAAGCCTCCGGGCGCAATACTCCCGGTCCCATATCACCGACACCTTTAATTACTACTCCCTCCGTATTCGTAAAGGAAGTCGTTTGGGATAATGTTTAAGTCAAACCTTGGGAATATAAATCATGAATAACTCTCAAGTTGTTGAGTTTGAAAATGTAAAAATTATATGAATAGATTTGTATTGAAAAATACTTTCACAAAAGTATACATATATCACTTTTCAATAAATATTTTTATAGAAATAAAAAGTCAAAGTTGTGTTTTGGAGACCGTGCCGCTGTCCAAAATGACTTTCTTTACGAGTACAGAGGGAGTACATCCCCTACTCCAGAGTATGAGAGCAGATACAATAGCAGGCTATAAGCCAGCTATAAACATATTTTAAAGAAATAAATGAAGAGAGAAGAGCAGCGGGCTACAGATCTGTAGCTAGCTACAACACGGACTCCAAAACGTAATGTGTGTATGACAGGTGGGACCAGGTATTAATAGTATAGTAAGCAACTATTGTATGAATTAGCTATTATATTAGCTATAGATGATTTGGAGCTAAGTTGACTGTACTATTAAACTTGCTCTGGTGGTTGATCACGTGAACCAAGTCTCGCACGCATATGCTTGCAGTTCGATGTATAAGTCTTTAGTGAATACACAAAAAGTTAAGCGCATTGGCATATAAATTAATATGAAGAAAAATTCAAGTGCACAACGCAAACACAAATTGTTGATAATTAAACTGTTCGATTCGTTGACATCAATTTATTGACGAGGACAGATAGCAAGTGTTCTTAAGTTACGTGTAGACTGTAGCATCCGTGTGCTTGCCTCTTGCGTTGCAGGCTTGCATGCAGCTGCAGTTTGTTGGTTCTTTTGACACGTTCTACTGCACGTACAGGGTTTCTCTCAAAAAGGGAAGTTCTTCAAGGTTGCCTTGCGATTTAATAAAAAAAACACTCTGAAAAACGATGCATAGAAAGTCTAGATTTAATGGTATGTATGTTAAATATACTACGGAGTAGTTGTTTAGAATTTTAAATTTCATCAAAAAGAAAATAAGATAATTTACTCAAATGTTATCAACGTAATCATAAATCCACGTCTATAATTTTGTGGAGCTAAGGGCTTGTTCGGAACGGAGGAATTACACAGGATTTTCGTAGGATTGGCAATTCCTTTGGATTTGGCACTGTTTATGCATTCGTTTCATAGGAACCATGCACAGGATTTTCATAGGAATACTATAGCAACATGTGAAAACGTAGGAATTTCATAGGATTCTGAACATCCACTCACACCTCATTTTTTTCCATTAGCTACCATGGGATTTTTTTTCCATTAGCTACCATGGGATAGATGCTAATCACGTTGGAGTGACTAGATGGGAACTAATATTTTATTGCTTAATTATACTATAATATATGAGATTAATATTAATTGGAAAATTCCTGTGGTTTATATATTCCTGTGTTCCGAACGCTTCGTACTATCAAATTCTTTTGTTTTTCAATCCCACATTTTGCATATGCAATCCTATATTATTTCTATGTTTTTTCTATTCCTATGTTTTTCCTATCCTGTGATCCGAGCAAGCCCTTAAAATATTCAAACTCTGGATCCCGAGCAGTGATAAAGAGGTCCTATATATATACTCTCATACGTGTCTCCGAGAGCATGCACCACTACTACCTGGACAGCCAAAAGTACTAGGATCAAATCAAACAAAACCACGAGCCAGCCAGCCCACACGTACGCAGCACCTAGCAAAATCGATATATCACGAGATGGCAGGTGTTAGCTGCTTCTACCACCCAGAGCACTTGGTAACCGAGCACCACTACGGCGAGGGGTCGGGTTCGGGGTCGGGCAACCCCTGCGCCGCGTGCGAGCGCGTCGTCACCGGCGACGGCTACCGCTGCGAGCACGGCGAGTGCGACTTCCACGTCCACCGGAGCTGCCTCGCCCTCCCGGCGTCCTTCGCCCTGCACGAGCGCCACGAGCACGAGCTCACGCTCACCCGCCTGACGGGCAGCCGGTGGTGCAACGTCTGCGACGTGATCTCCCACGCCGGGTGCCGCATGTACGCCTGCGCGCCGTGCAACTTCAGCGCGCACCCTCGGTGCACGCCTGTGTTGGACGGCGCACACCAGCAGCCGCAGCCGCCGCAGCAGCAGGAGGGGGAGGAGAAACGGAGCGTGGGGGTACGCGCCGCGAAGGTTGCTCTCAAGATCGGCGTCGCCGTCGGTTTGACCGCGGTGGATGTCGGAACGACCGGCGGGTTGGCGACCGTGGGATCGCTGGTAATCGCTCCCATAGTCCGCCGGGCGATTGACAAAATCTAAGTAGAACACGCAAGCAAGGTGACGCACTGTGTATCGATTATAGATGCGCTGCTTAATAGGTTAATTTACTACTACACAGTTTTTTTTTTTTTTGGTGCGTGTGTCGTTTCGCCGTATGTTTGTAGTTGTGATGTAAAAATTATAAGGGATGTCGATGCAAATTAAATTGTATTAAGCCGCTCGTCCCATGTGTTACTTTCTTCTACTCACAAAACAATGTCGTTCAAGACCACCTAAAATCAACAAGAGGAATTTCAACTAGTGTGATGATATTGTGATAGGATTTATTGTGACAATACTTGGCGTCTTGGCTGTATCGTCGTTTCCATACGTCCAAAGACTTTATCTGAAACAAATAATCCATTTATCTTTAATTATATCAAGTATTAAAAGATCTAGGCTGAAATGGCATTTAGAAGTCAGCGTTTGCTTCTTCAATAACAGCTTGTTATTCTTTTCTCGTGATATGTTGTGAACTGTTTCAATTTGGTGGTTCCTATGGTGTTATGGTGTTGTACACATTGTTACATTTTACTATCAACTTAGTTAAAATTTAAGAAGTTTGATTTAGGACAAATCTAAAAAGGTATGAAATAGAGTGAACAGATAGCTTGAACTGGTGGAGAACAGTGAAGAGACCAGAACAAGAGAAAAAAAAGAAAATAAGATGGAGTCAAATTATAAATTTTAACACAGTTTTGTGGCAAAATAATGAATTTGTACTAAACATTGTGAAATTTTAGTAATGCTCATAAATGGTAATGGGTAATTTTTTAGAAAAATAAAAACTTATACACGCGGTTGTGCGAAAAACTTGCAACAAGGAGCATTTATATTTTTGCTGCAATTAATTGTCTCTTTTCTCTATATGTATACTGCTCCCTCCATTCAAAAATATAATGTGTGGCTTGATTGGGCACTGTTTCTATCATCAAACTTCAACCACCATTTTTTTTCAAAGATTCCTGTATAGTACATATGAATTTAGTGATGCCGGAATTTGATTCTTAAAATACATGCACATCTTATATTTTCTAACGGAGGAAGTATTTTATATGTTAGTCTTGAAACTTCCATATGCTTTGGGAGTATGAGTGATCTTCTTCCCTATCTTATCCCTTTCGCACACAGTGAATGGCTAGGCCTAGACAGTGGTGGAGCTAGTGACACCGTCAAGTACAGACAATTAATATTGTTTTCTAGTAATCAACTAATTTTTATACATATTAACGGTAGTTGGTGGTGGAGAGATACTGACAGTGAAGCCACTAATTTATATATATATTAACGGTAGTTGGTAGTAGAGACGTCAACTATGAAGCTTTGGCGGTTGCCTAACCTACTTGAGAGTTGTCTCCACCACTAGATCCATATGCATAATGTGGATGATCGATCCTCTCGTTTCTGACCATCCACGCCTTCTCTACTTTTATTTTCTCATGGTTGATCCTGGTAAACGCTTCAATTCGAAGCGTACTTAAGGTTTTGCTTGACATAACTCTAAATTCAAGATTTAAATAGTCAAAGTATCACTAAACTTAGAAATCAATGATCTAGAGTTGCATAGATGTAAAATTTGGAGCAGCGCTAAATAAAGCATAAGAACAGTTAAGCCCCTGCTTCATTAGATTATTATACTGGATTATTAGCTTCATGCCTCTAATAATATTTTTTTCTAAAAAATATTGTTCTATTGTATTGATTAGATCCCTTAATCTAGCATACGTTAAGTTTATTTATATTAAAATTTTAATATATATATATATAGATGTAATCGTGTAGATAATTTACTATAATGTAGTATTTCAAATTGTGTTGTTCTGAGCCGTGGTCAGTCAATCGGGATTTGAGATCTTCAGATTTACTTCCCTCTGACATGGTTCATTGATAGGTGGACTCTCTATTCAACGGATCGCATGTCAGTGATTTAAAGTTGGAGGAAATTAAGTCGGAGGATCTTTTCCGTGTGCAGAGAGGACCTTTACTCTGATTTGTTTCAACTGGGCTGTAGTGGACCTGATACCTGGGCCTAGAAAGCCCATGATGCGCATGGCCCAGAAGAATTGGCCTATGCCTGCTGAGTTTCTCACTCCCTAGTCGATCTCCCCGTCTCCTCCCTCGGCGGCCTCGAGGCTCTCCTCGCGACGCGAGTTCGCCCGCCGCCTGCGCCGAGCAGCGCCCCTATCTCCATCCGGCGAGCAGCGGCGCGCCGCCGTCCTGCTGCTTCCGCCGCAGCCTCGCCGGTGAGAACCCCATACGCTCATCCTCTCTCTCTATCTTTCATTACCCACACCTTCTCTTCTAGATCTGGAAACCTTTTTCTCTTTGCTGACACCATTCTTGTTCCCAAAATAATTTGGGGTTCAGCTGCTGAACCCTCATCATGTCCCACGTGAGGTCCGCCCCGGCGGGCAAGTCCGGCGGGGGCGGCGGCTCCACGCCGGCGAAGCGCGGGCGCCCCTTCGGAAGCACCACCGGCAGCGGGGCGGCGGCCGCGGCCGCGGCGGCTGCAATCGGCGACGCGGCGGCGCCGGCCGCGCTGGTTGGGCCGTCCCTCCAAGTCCTCACAGCACTCTCCGGTGAGTGAGCTTCTTCTTCGCCTGCAAGTCCGCAACGACCTTGTGATGATGTCTAGGGCACAGCTTTTGGATTAGTTCTTCCTGCGTGTCTTCGGAGACGACTTTGTTGCGGGAAGGGGGATTAGGGTTTTTGGTCTGATGATTATGTGCCTGGTGTTGAAATTGAAATTGGGACGCTGAATATACCTTGCATCGAGGATTTGCTTATTGGACTGCTGACCTAACAGGGAAATAGAGGAACAATGTTTTTAGTATTGAATAAGGCTTTGCTTAGCTAGATGGGACTGGTCGTCAAATTGGCCGTCAAGAACGGCGTGATTTATGGGTAGTACACTAGTAATCATATGAGTCTATGACGAACATTGGAAACAATGGGGACAAACAATCGTGGTGTAGTTGTCTTCATCATTTCAGATGTAAAAGCGATGGCCTGTATATTTTCTTTACCTAGATTTTTTTCCCTGTTCATATTGGCTCATTCAATAGAGATGCTACCTCACATATGTGTCATGAGCTTGAAATGCACAGGCACTCCTTTTTTCTGCACACTTAACATGTACTGTCGACATGGTTACTAAGAAGGAGAGTTTATGTTTCTTTGTGGACTTTTCAGATCAGAACAATAAAAGAATTGTTCTTGCATTGCAAAGTGGGTTGAAGAGTGAGATACTATGGGCATTGAACGCCCTTACAGTACTCTCATTTAAGGAGAAGGATGATCTCCGGCGGGATACAACACCTCTTGCTAAAGTTCCTGGGCTCTTGGACGCTCTCCTTCAAGTTGTAGGTTCTTAATGTTAACTTCCCCCCTTCCAATTTGATCTATATGTTATGGAATGATGCATATCTTCTGAAGCCAAAAATCATGTTTCCCAATTCCTCTAGCATGCATTAATTGATCAATTTGAATCAGAGTTCATTTTAGAAAATGATTAGTCAGTCAATCATCACCCTATTCATTTTTTATGGTGGACCTCCAGTACTGTTGATGCCACCAGTGGCCGCAGCCACCTGTTCCAGACCAGGAGGATCAGGAAATGGATTGTGAGACTGATTTATCTTTACTTTTTGTTCGCAAATTATTCTTTCGTTTAATCTGCAGAAGTTGTTAGGCAATCCTCCTACTTAAGGATGGGACTATCGCTACTTGAAGGCAAACTAGAATAGTTACCCTACCCCCTGCTTCTCTGCGAACTTCCGTGTACCTCCTGTCTTCCTCCTGCACAATGGTGCCCAAGCGCCATGGTCCAGGTCTCCAGGATCTTGGCTTCCTGCCTCTCGCTCCTATTCCCTTGCCACCAGAATCTTGCCCACAATATCCAGACACTGATGAAAATGTGATGATCTCATGCAATATCCAGGACTGGCATTGTTGTCCACTGTAGCCATAGAAACGTAAATAAAGGTTCCGATATTTGCACTTACACTTAATTGGTTGGTGGCCAAAGTATCGCTTTATTTAATTGGACTACCGTGCTTCTTTGATATGACTAAATTTGCTAAATAACTAAATTTTTTAAACAATGCACTGATCAATTTTCATCCAGAAAAGAAATGATATGGTGATCATGTACGGATACGCTTATTAGGACTTTATTTCTGCATTCTGTTTGATGCATTTCCATTTTGTACAGATAGATGACTGGCGAGATATTGCAATGCCTAAGGATCATACAAAACCGCCAAGAGTAAGAACATTGGGTGTCAATACAACACTCTCCGGCTTTGGTCATGAGAATGTTGAAAAAGTCTACTCAGACACCACCACGTATGTTGTTATTAGTCTCATCAACATCTTCACCTCATTTTTAATGAGTTAAGCAGCAATACTTGTATTTTTCTGAAATACGGTATCTCAGTCCTTCAGATGACCAAACAAAGACAGCTGACTCTACTGTCACGAAGAAGCGATCTGCAGGATTTTTGTTTGATGAAGAGGGCCTATTTAATGTTGATGACGAAGGACGAACAGAAAAGCAGCAGTGTGCTGTTGCAGCCTCCAATATAATTCGCAATTTCTCTTTCATGCCAGAAAATGAGACTGTTATGGTTCAACATAGACACTGCTTGGAGACTGTATTTCAGTGCTTAGAAGACCAAAACACTGGTAAAGTTCCAAATTCAATTATATTCTATTTTAAAAACCATAAATTAATATGGAAATGACCGACTACCTCTTTTGGTTGTGTTGTGCCATAATTTTTGCTTTTGACAGGAGATGGTAGGGGATAATCCAGCTGTAATGTATTAAAATAAGTTAAAAGAGAATTTTACATAGATCTAAAGGATATAAAAAAATTACCAACAAGGAAAACTTTATAGATAGCAAGAAGTGTGTTGCAAATTATTCTATCCAATTGTCTAGGGCAATTCAATTTCAAGTTGATGTTAATTGTGTGCTAAATCAAATAAGTTATTTATCCTAGGACCAAGTTATGATAACATGTAAACTAACCTTCTATTCATTTTTATCATGTACCAGAAGATTATGAGCTCATAACAAACTAACTTTTTATGCATTTTTATCATGTAACAGAAGATGATGAGCTCATAACAAACATGCTTGAGACCCTTGTTAATCTAGCACCTGTCCTGGACCTGAGAATCTTCAGCTCATCAAAGCCATCATTTATTAAAATAACGTGAGATCAAACTTATCACAAGTTCTTTTCATTTTGTTTTCATAGTGATGCCTGATGCTTTACTCTGCTTTTTCACCAATAATACAGTGAGAAACGTGCAGTTCAAGCCATAATGGGCATGCTTGCATCATCGATTAGGGTGTGGCATTGTGCTGCTGCTGAATTAATTGGGCGGCTGATAATCAATCCAGACAATGAACCATTTCTTCTTCCAGCCATTCCACAGGTAAATCATTTTTAACTTCTAGCATATTGTTTCAATTTTGTTGATATGCTATGGAGATGGACCGAATAAAGCTATTCGGTTGTGGATGATAAAATTCTGTACTTTACATTGCTAAATTTTCATACAGATATACAAGAGACTAGTTGACCTCTTGAGTGTGCCAGCAGTCGATGCACAGGCAGCTGCTATTAGTGCGCTGTACAATGTAGCAGAAGTGAATATGGACTTCCGGCTGAAGCTTGCTAGCGAGCGATGGTAATATCTCCTTCATTCTATTAGATATAGCACACTGACATGAGAACTTAAATTCAAACTCTTAAATTTCGTATTATTTGAACCAGGGCTGTCGATAGACTCCTTAAGGTCGTGAAGACGCCACATCCCGTGCCTGAAGTTTGTAGGAAAGCATCAATGATAGTGGAGAGCCTAGTCTCTGAGCCTCAAAACAGGATGCATCTCCTTGTCCATGAGAATACTTTTGCTGAGATACTCACGTCGGAAGGGAAATACTCCGACACATTTGCAAGGATTCTATATGAGCTGACTGCAAGGCCGAGCAACAAAGTGACAGCAGGGCAAGCTATCTGGGGGAACATAAACTGATGCATCATTGTATTGTTAAAATCTACTAGATAAGATGTACTTTAGTAGCTTAGGTACCTGTTATGTTGAAAATGCCTTGGGTTTCTGACTGTATGTAACAAGCTTTTAGCTGTATTTAGTTGCAGCCTTGCAAGCTTACATTTTAACGCCTTGATCTTCCTTTTCTGAAGTACTACACTTGCTTCCAGAGTTTCAGAGTACTATCTATGATATTTTTTGTTAGGCTTGGAATGGCTGGTATATATTGTAGCATGTTGGTGTTATGAATGCTGCTGGAATTTTCTGCCAAATCGTTTTGCTGTGCCTAGAATGAGCAATAGTCTGGTGTTTCAGTGAGGTTGTTTTGCTCGGCTTTCTCTGCAGCCCAGCCCGTGGACAACGTCTCTGGCAACAAGAAGAGGCCGTTCCGGTACAATGGATGTTGCCATGTTGGTATGGATGCCTTCATTTTATTTTATACCAGTACTACTAGCTGTGAAGTGTTTGAAGAGGTCATGTGTACTCGTACTCTCGAGTGCCAAGTTGAAATTTTTTCTTTTCTGCCGCCAAGGCCAAAGGGGCGCAACTTGCAAGGAATCTGGGATCGTTGGTTGACATCTTAATTTAAATATGTTACTCATGAACTTGGGAATCTGGGATTAAGATAAGATAAGCATACACGCTCCACTAACCAATTCAACACGCTCACTCATTAGCCGCTTATATTGTTTGGGTCAAGCTAACAGATACATCTACGGAATTTCACATCCGTGAAACAGTAGATATCTCAACCTGGTAAAAAAAAAACTCTATATCTCAGCGACGCATTCATAATCACTACAACTAATCACATAAAATTGAAAAAAATAGGTAACACCAGAGCTTTGTATAGGGCCTGTTCGGCTGCCTGTGCTACGGCTGTGGCACAGCCAGCACCAACAGTGTTGCACACGCACGACGCAGCCTCAGCTTTAGCAACCGCAGCCAGCTTGCCGACCAGACCCATAATTTGCTCTGTTTGGCTTACCTTGCTTTTTCTTAGAACCCAAGGTGATTTTGAATTTTAACTTTCAAGAATGATTTTGGCTGAGTTTTTTTACTCATCTTTTAGCACCTGTAAAAGGGAGATCTGGACAAAGTAGGTGGTGAAGAAAACACCCTAAAATTAATATAAAATCAAAACTTAAAATTTAAAATCAACTGTGTTGCAGCTCTCCCATGATCAACCATCAACATTGTCAATACTAGGATACCCATAGCGCGCCGACTAGCCCCTATGCTCTTGAGACATTAGGAAACAGCCTGGATTAAAATGGTAGTCTGAATAATCATAAAAATAAATCCTCAGCGCTTGTTCCAACCTCAGCACAAGTTGAGCCTAAATTAAACTGCTGGTTTTGTTGAACGTGAAATTTACTATCCAATAATTAGCAAGTGCTCCGGAGTGTGACTGATCCCACGTATACCAAGTCATGCTCATGCTTGCTGCCGGTACATACATTTTTTTTTTCTTTTGGCACACACTGTACCAAGCCGGGTTATTGTCTTGTCAGGCTAGAAAAGAAAAATTAATCAACTAAGACCGACGACTCGAAACATCTATATATACACATCCAGTACAAGCATCGTCAACACCGCATGCACAACTACTACAACCAAACAAATTAAACCAAGCCATATCGATCGAATTATCGGTCAAGAGATGGCAGCTTCTGTCACCTGCAAGCTACACCCAGGGCACTCGCTAAAGAGGCACCACTACGGCGGCGAGGAGGGCCATGCCTGTGTCTGTGCACTGTGCGAGCGCATCATCGCCGGCGCCGGCTACAGGTGCGGCGAGTGCGGCGGCTTCGACGCCCACGAGGCCTGCCTCTCGCTGCCGATGCGCGTCGCGTTCGTCGGGCACCCCGCGCACGAGCTCACGCTCTCCCTCCTCACGGCCAGCCGGTGGTGCGACGCCTGCAGGGTGGCCTCCCACGCCGGGCGCTGCGTGTACCGCTGCGTGGCGTGCGACTTCGACGTGCACGCGCGGTGCACGTCGCTGCTTGACGGCGAGCAGCAGCATGGTAGGAAGCGTGGGGTGGCGAGGCGCGTCGGCATGGCGGCTCTCAGGATGGGGTTGTTCGGGCTGCGCGTGGCGGACGCGGTCACCGGCGGGTTCGGGTCGCCGGTGATCGAAGTCATTGAGACGGCGCTTAATCTCTAGACGATCGAAACAGTGCACGCATGTGTGCAACTGGATTTTTTTTTTCCTCTTCTTTGCGTTAACTGCACCATCTGCACTGCAAACTTCCACCTATCACAATGTGCTCACGATTCGATCACAAGTCGATTTTCTTTTTTTTTTAAAAAAAAATGTAGCCGCTGGAAGATTTGTGCATGCAACTATGCTGTACTCCCTTCATCCGACAGGTCTTCGGTGCTGTGTGTCACACTCTCACTCCAGCAGCTAGCAGTCGCGTTGTCGAGGTGATTGTTACGGTCTTTCGTGTTAGCCTTTCTAAGCCCGGTAGCCCCGTGCGGCCCAAAAAAAGGCCCAACCACCTCGTACCCTAAAGGCCTAAACATAGCCAGTCGGACGCCGCGTCGCCTCCCCCATCGCCGGCTGATGCCGTCCTTTTCCTCGCGCGCCGCTGGTCCTTTCTCCAGCCGCGACCCGCGACCCCTTCCGGCAACGTTGCCTGCGGCGGGGAGTTTTACCACCTCGACGTATTTTCCTTCTTCTCCGAACGGCGTCCCGATGCCAGGGAATTCAGGCTATTCCATAATTCGTCTGTTATTTAATTTAGGTCATATTTGAATGAACTTGAAGCGAAAAACGTCCAGAGTGTTTTTCGGCTAGCTCAACAAAGTGGTGGCACTACTAGAAAAATCTTTTTTTTTTGCATGCGGCCAAAAATCATTTTTCCAGGCAGGGAAAGGTCCGCCTGTATATAAATGCCTGCGAAAAACATCGATTTTCGCAGGCGGCCGAAAATCCTCTTGATGAACAAAAAAAATCACTACCACCCCCCACCCGTGCTGCTACTCACCTCCGGTCGATCTAGGGTTAGGGTTTTGGGAGGTCGAGGGAGAGGAAGGGGAGGTGAGGGGAAGCATAGCCGCTGCTGAAGGGCCGCCGACGCTGGTGGTGGGGGGCGCCGCCGCCGCCACCGCCCTCTCCCTTCCTTCGGCTGGATCTAGGATAGAGGGAACCGCCGCTGCCGCCCTCCCCCGGTCTCCATCCGGTCGGATCTGGGAGGGGAGCCGCACCGGGTGCCGCCGCCGCCCCGCGCCATGGTCATCCCCGCGCCTCGCCGCAGCCGCCCTCCCCCGGCCTCCCTCCGGCCGGATCTGGGAGGGGAGCCACGCCGGGTGCCGCTGCCGCCCTCCCCCCGCCCCCCTCCGGCTAGATCAGGGAGGGAGGGAGGGGCCGGAGGCCGCCGCGGCCGCCATGTCGCGAGGGAGCCGCCGCTGCCTCCGGCCGGCGGCCGGTGAGAGGAGGGAAGGGGAGGGGAGGGGAGTGAGGAGGGACGCAGGAGAGGAGTGAGGGAGAATGAGGACTTAGAAAAAATCGGCCCTAGGTTAGCTCTATTTATATTCCAAGTCTACTTTCGTAGGCGGACCACATAAGAGGTCCGCCTGCGAAAATGGATTTCGTAGGCGGACAGCGAGCTTCATCTCGGTTTGCATTTTTGTAGGCGGCTATTTGGCTCTGAGGGTCATGTCCGCCTCCAAAAATGAATACCCAACGTCGGCGAAAATGATTTTTATAGTAGTGTGGGCTGGCTGGTCTGGATTTGAAGTCTCACCCCTTTTATTTATAATATTAGTTCATTTTCTAACATTCACTTTTTTTAATGGATTTGAGGCCACATTTGAAGTTTTCGAGTCCACCGGCCGGCTAGCCATGAGGGGGAGAGAGAGAGAGAGAGAGAGAATGAGCGCGCCATCGGCAGGGAGAGGCAGCCCTCTACCCTGATCTTGGACATTGAAACTGTTGAGTTGTGACCAGCTTCTGCCAGAGCGAAGCGGAGGCCCGTCGTTATCCTTTTAGGATTTCACCTTCATATATACTTCTTGTAAGCCGTCGTTCGGTGTTGTAACCTTACCCCGATAAAGTGAAGATATTTTGCTAACTGATGCTCATAGTTTTTTCTCTCCTGCTTTGAAAAGATTTTCCACGTTAAATCTCGGGTCTTCTATGATTGATCTATTATTTTTTATCGTTTATTTGCCTATCGCTTCCTAACAGGAGCCGCCGCACACTCCCTCGACACATCGGTAGCCAATGCTACGGATGATGCGCTTGCATAGGGCGCCCCTCGCCGCCGTAACATATGTCAATGGTGTAACCAGGAGATTTTCCTTGGGCAGTACTAGTTCACAAATGCACATCACATACTACAATTTTCTACACCGAAAATATGATATACAAGTACAAAACTAGTGAAAATATGATATTATTATAATGTCTTAAAACATCATAAGTGGCTTACTTAACAAGCTAAAATGACACATTCACTAATCAATATCCCTGCTCCTCTTCATGTTTTACCAATCCTGCAAACTGCAATGACACATTTACTTAACAAACTGCTCTGCGCTGATCTTGGACGTCGAAGCCGCCGCACGCGCACTCGACGCATCGGTAGCCGGCACTGCTGATGATGCACTCGGACAGGGCGCCCCTCGCCGCCATAATATATCAATACAGTGGCGTAGCCAGGAGATTTTCCTTGGGTAGTCATAGTTTACAAATTCACATCATATACTAAAATTTTCTACACCTAAGATATCATATACAAGAACAAAATTAGTGAAAATATGTTAGAAATATAATAATAATGTCTTATAACATCGATAAGTGGCTTACTTAACAAGCTAAAATCCCTGCTCCTCTTCATGCTTTACCAATCCTACAAACTACAATGACACATTCACTAAACAATAATCACAACTTACAAATTGTATATTCAGTTATTCACTTATTCACAGACTCACAAATCAGAAATCTATTTTTGAAGCCATTACCTACAGAGACATAACTACTGAGCTAGTCAGCCAAAGGAAGGGGAGTAGAGGCAGTTGTTCACTACCTGCAGGGGAAGGCGCCGTTCCGTTCCGCCGGAATTGAAGCAAAGGCTGCATGGCTGCGGGCAAGCGGCCGAGGCGCCGAGCGCTGCAGCGGGAGCGGGAGGCTGTGGTCGCTTGGCTGGCCAAGAGCACCAGAGCGGAGATGGCTGTGGAACGTCCTGCAGAAGGCGCCACGAGGACGGTGGGTGGTGTATCCACGGCGGCACGGCGCACGGGTGGCGGTGGTGCGACTTGACACACGGGTGTCGCCTCGTCGGCGACTCGGCAACCGCGCGTGGTACGGGCATCGGGCGAAGTTGAAGGGAGGAAGACAGGGAGTAGGGAGTAGCGTTGTAACGGCTCGTCCACCCAGGATTGCTAATCCGCGCAAACGCGCCAGATTAGTAAATCGCGAGCGTTTCCTAGTTCGTAGCTTCTCACACTCTTTTTTTTTCGTTTTTCCGCCTTTTTGGTTTCTTTCAATTCTATATTTATTTGTAAAGAGGTGTGTGAATGATTAAAAAAATAAAAAAGAAACGAAGAAAACACGCCTAAGATCAGAGAAAAAAGTGCGAATACGCAAAAAAAGAAAAGGACCGGCGGAAGGGGATAGCTGGCGTGCGCGCCAGCGATTTAGCTGGCGCGTATGCGCGCATTAGCCATCCCCTCATCCTCCACTCTCAGGGCTCATTCGGATTGGAGGCTTTTCCCGGGAATTTCATAGGAATACTGTTCACATGGGATTTTTTCCTATCCTATCGTTCGGATCGTAAAAAGTGGTTATGGGAAAACTGTAGGAAAAAATCCTTTGCTGCTGATTCCACAGGAAAAACGGAGGAAAATTCCATCCACTCCAATCTCTTGTTTCATTCCCTTTGAGAGAATCAAGCCAATCAAGCAATAAAACAGCCACTAGATAATAAGCAAGACAGACGGGATAAGCAAGATAGCGGTAGATAATAAATACAGTATACAGATTACTCCTCGATTACTTTTTATTTCCTTTCCTGTAAACCGAATGCTCTCAACTTTTATATTCCTGCGTTTTTCAATCCTATGTTTTCAACGTGATTTCCTTTCATATTCCTACGTTTTTCCTATCCTGTGTTTTTCCTTTTCCTGTGTTCCGAATAGGCCCTCAACGTTTTTCTTTTTTTTAAGGGAGGGGGGGGGTGGGGGGAGGCCCCACCTAAATTGGATTAAAAGAAGTAAGAGAATTACAGAGGAACTATACAAAGACGAGGCCAAAATAAAAGGGGGAAAACTAAAAGCTACAAAAGAGCTAAAGAACAGCAACTAGAGAAGAGCAAGAGAAGCATTAAACAGCGATAGCCAGAGCGGGAGGAGTGCTTTAAGCGAAGGTTTAAAGCGATGTGCCCAGAGCTGAGCATCCTGAATACAACTTCTATTGAGCCGAGAAATGAAGGGGGGCTGGTTCTGAAAGACAACTTTGTTTCGATGATTCCACAGGCGTCAGCAACAGAGAATGAAGAAGGTATTACTCTGAAGAGCCGAAATGTTGTCCATCAGGGTGTTGGAGTGAAGCAAATTCATAGATGTTATAAGGGTGCTACTTGAATCATATCCCAGAAAGCTGAGGCCAGGGGACAGTTGAGGAAAAGGTGATCAGTGTCTTCCGGGCAGCTCTTGCAGAGTTCACAGCTCAACGTTTTTCTTGGGTTTGGGTTGCTAATTTTAGTTTGGTCTATTGGATTTGATTATTTGGGCCTAATTTTTTATGAGGTGTAGGGGATTTCTTGGTCAAAATTGGGGTAGTCCCGAGTCCACAAGGACTACCCCAGCTACGTCCTTATGATGCTTCGTTAGGTCGATTGAACCTAAGCTACCGGAGTATTTCTTTTTACCCTATCTCTCCCTCTGTTATCCTCTGCGCGCCTCCATGACACCGGCGACGTATGAGAGACGATGAAGTCGATCCTCGCACAAAAACACTAATACAGTAGCACACAACAATGTGAAAATTTCTGAAATTTCAAACAATATTGGACCCTGTTCCGGCCCTCTCCTGTCGGTCTACACAGTAGCGCTGCACAGTGTACACGCGGTCCTGGCTCGCCTGTGCATATGCGGTCGGGAAGAAGGTATTGATCGTACGTACGTGTGCGAGACGGCGATTGCCGCTGACCCCTCTTTTTTTATGTTTAGAACTCATTGAGTAACCTCGAGTCGTCGCTGAATGTTTCTGTATGCATGTAAGCTAGCACAAGGAGCAAGTAGCAATACAGTGAGTGCACCTATATACTATGGGCCGCTTCAATTCGATCAGTGCGTAGAGGGAATTAAAACTGCCTACATATCAGGCTCGATCTCAAAATTGACTTTACTTGTAAATTACACTATTAGCGCCAGCTGTTTCATACATAGTTCAACACATCTTAAAAGTTAAAACCAATTTCGATCAGAACGAAAAACCGTAAGCTACTAATAGTACATTGTTCAGAAATCAGAGTTGACATATGAACCCTTTTTAAGTGCACGAGGAACCCTGTGAATGAAGCACATATATCAAAGCTAGCACAAACGTCAAATCATCAATAGCTTATCATGGCAGCAGCGTCCGGCAATCAGCTGACCGAGAGCCGGACGCACTTCGCCCATCCACAGCACCCGCTTCTCAAGACACAGTACGGCGGCGGCGAGCGGCAGCCGAGCAGCCGCCACGTCTGCCGCATCTGCGGGACTCGCGTCGTCGCCGGCGCCGGCTACCGCTGCGACCACTGCGACTTCGACATCCACGAGGCCTGCGCCGACTTCTTCCCGGAGAAAATGATAACTCCACCTCCCAACTTCTTCGGGCATCCGTGGTCGCACAACCTCGCGCTCAGACAGGTCACGGCGGCGGATGGATCGTGGCCGTGCACCCTGTGCCGGGGGCCCTTCCAGCACGGCCACCTCGCCTACCGCTGCGGCGCGCGGAGGTGCGGGTTCGCCGCGCACCCGCTGTGCACGATGCTGCCGGGAGAGATCCGCAGCCCGCTCCACCGGAAGCACGCGCTCACCCACACCGAGCTCATGCTCATCCCGTCCGGCCCGTGCACACCCGCCGAGATGGCCCGGGTCTGCTCCGTCTGCCGCCGAGACTGCTCCACCGTGCGCACGCGGCACTACCGCTGCGCCGCCTAGCTGCATGTTCGTGCTCCACATCGGCGGCTGCGTTTCCGGCGTCCCGCCGCCGCCGGCGCCGGCCGGCGAGGACCAGGGTAGCAGTGGTCCTGACGGCGCGAGGGGTTCGTGCGGCGGAGCTGCTGCTGCTCCAGCCCCCGCCGTCGCGAGGTTTCTCGTCGTGGTCGCGGAGCAGCAGCTGGCGGCGGATTTCCCGGCTGCCAATGGCATGGTGGCGGTCATTAACGCCCTGCAAGCTTCGTTGAGCTCGAACGATTAATTACTGGTACAGCTAGCCAGCTGAACTTTCGTCCGAGCGATTTGTCAGTTACGTATACTACAATTCGTTTATGACAATGTTTAAATCAAGTTATTGAGTTATTGAGTTTAAAAATTTAAAAATTATATAAATAGGTTTACCTTGAAAAATACTTTACTAGAAGTATACATATATCACTTTTCAATAGATACTTTTGTAGAAACAAGAAGTCAAAGTTGTGTTTTAGAGACCGTGTCACTGTCCAAAACGACTTCCTCTACAAGTACAGAGGGAGTACGTACGTATAACACGCGAGTGCTGTTTCAACGTGTTATCTGTAATAATATAATCACACAAAACATTCTTGGGGTTTGTCGTAACGAGTTCTACTACTACATAAAGATCTTTTGGTGCCGGTTGCCAACCCCACATATGTGCCGGATTTGGCAACCGACACCTCGCAGGCAGCACAGATATGAAACCAAATAGGTGTCGACGGTTTAGAACCGGCACCTAGAAAGATGAACAAGCCCAAAAAAAAATACCGGCTCGGCTCGAATCAAGCTGACCCAAGCACGAATCAAGCCAAGCACATCAAGAACACAAATCAAGAACTTCAAGAACATGTCAAGAACGTCATGAACACAGCACAGAACACATGACACATCTAAGAACACATTAATAACACATAACACTTCACGTCGCAGGCCGTCACATCGCCCTCCGCGCCAGCCTTCTCCACCACTGCCAACGTCGTCAGATGTTAACGAGGAGGAGAGCGGCCTACAAGGCGGGAGACCGCCAGGGGAGAAGTGGGACCCCGCGGTAGCGGCGAGGACGCGGAAGTGGAGGAGGAGGAGGAGAGCGAGCACCGGGAGGGAGGCGCGGCGCGGTGGGGAGAGAGGAGAAAAGTGTGAGAGATAGAGAAGGGGAAAGAGAGGGTGATGACGTGGCCACACTGATATGTGGGGCCCACATGGGTTTCACGTTGACTCAACGCCACGTAGGACAAAATCGGGGTCAAAACCACCAGAGGATCTAAAGTGAACGGTTTCTGTAAATTGAGGGATGTTGTGTATCTGGTTTTGCTGTTGGAGGACGATTTTGTAACTTGATGACAAGTTGAGGGACGTTCGGTGTACTTTTTCCCCCTAGTCAACATGTAGAGCGGCCCAGCTGCCTTACGGGCACAAGCATGAGCGCGTGGAGGTGAGTCGCACGTTCTGCGTGTTGGCCGGTGGAAACTAAGGGTCTGTTCACTTTGATGCCATTTTCAACCTTACCAAATTTTGGTAAAGTTACCAAAAAAGTGGCTACATTTAGTTTGCTACCAAATTTTGGTAACTATATCAAAATTTTGGCAACTATGCTAAAATTTTGGCATTGCAATGCTAAAATTTGGTAAGGTTTTTTTTGGCATCAAAGTGAACAGGCCCCAAATACGTGTATCTGGAAGTGCCACGTGTCAGGGTTAACCGTTTGAGAATTGACCCATGATTCGGTATAAGAGATACGTGAGCGCGTTAAGATCAGAAGTAGGTGCAGTCAAGGTTGTCAAGCCCAAACGATACCGATCCTATCTAGTATTCTAATTTTCGTCCTATCTCGATCTATTTATTACTACACGATCCTATAAAATCTTAGGTAGTATTCCGATTCTACGATCCTTTACGATCCAACAAAATATTATTTAAAATAAGATGGTTTGAAAATAATGTAAATAAATATACTCAAGTTTATAAAAAATCAGTTAAATATATCAAAACTAATGTGGTTTCTCTTGATAAATATCTTTATTTGTATGACATATATCATTACTATTTTTTTATGTATAATGGCTATATGTAATTAATACAAATATTAATTGAACTTAAAAAAGGAAAATCTTATAGTATCCTGATACTATGATACGATATTACTTTGAGCAAAATGATACTACCTAGTATTCTGATACTGATAGCATTGGGTGCAGCTGAGAGAGACCATGAATGAAAGTCACATCAGTCTACGGACCAAAAGATTAGATACTGAGGTTGTGTTTAGATTCAGGGGTGTAAAGTTTTGGCGTGTCACATCGGATATACGGACACACATTTGAAGTATTACACGTAGTCTAATAACAAAACAAATTACAGAATCCGCCTGTAAACCGCGAGACGAATTCATTAGGCCTAATTAATCCGTCATTAGCAAATGTTTATTGTAGCACCACATTGTCAAATCATGATGCAATCAGGCTTAAAATATTTGTCTCGCAATTTACACGCAATCTGTGTAATTAGTTATTTGTTCGTTTATATTTAATACTCCATACATGTGTCCAAATTAACATTCGATATGATAGGGTATAAAATTTTGCCAGGGGATCTAAAGAGGCCTTGAGTAGACTTGTGATCGTAACAGATTTAACAGATGGTAGATGTGACTATAACAAAGACAAATGCTACTAATATTAGTATTTCACAGCACTTGACAAACAAGCATACTCACTAAGTTTATAGACCGGCATGCAGGCGTCTATGCATAACTAAAATCATATATTTTATTTTAGAGTAAATTTCACAAACCTACATATACTTTGATCAAACTGTCAACATATTTAAACATATGTATCACAAAACTATAAATTTAGCACCAAACATATCACAAAACTACAGATTTGAAACATCATATCACAAAACTACAGATTTAGTGGTGAAGTTATTAAAGAACTACAGATTTTAGAGTTTATATCATAGCACTATTGGTGTTACGAAAGTTGTAGTTTTGTGATAAAAGTGATGTTAAATCTATCATTGTCTGATACCATACCTTAAATCTATAATTTTACGAAAAATATGATGTTAAATCTGTAATTTTGTGATACGTTATTAAATCTGTAGGATAGATTGATTAAAGTATCTGTAGTTTTATAAAATTTACTCTTTATTTTATCTTTTAATGTTAATATATTCAAAAAAAATATAACAAAGGGTAACGTCAACTAGTGGCTGAAAAAAATGTTGCTTATTTGAGGGTACTGATAATTATGTTCCTGGTTTATGTAGACTGTAGAAATGAGAGAAAACACAAGTTAAATAAAGAGATACTACTAATTTTGAAGAAAAAAAAGGATATTTTATTTTTACAATATATAATGGAGTATCTAATTTTTGACATGCACGTAAGGGTTAGCTAGCTGGCGCGCCAAAGGGCGCGCTGACTTTCTAGTAGTGTGCCTTTGTTAACTGATCGATATATATGGTGAGCTAGCCTATACTCCCTCCGTTTCACAATATAAATTATTCTATCATTTTCCACATTTATATTAATATTAATGAATCTAGACATATATATCTATCTAGATTTATTAATATAATATGAATATGGGAAATACTAGAATGACTTACGTTGTGAAACGGATGAAGTACAATTTTGTTTTACAGCTCATGTATGATATAGTTTTTGCTGCCTACTTGGTGATAATTATATAAGCATGAATCATTCTCTCGTTGTTTAATTTTGATGTCAAATTGTATGTGCTCGCCTTATGTACTCAGACCTTGCTGATAGTCACATCGTTTATATTCCTTGTGAAACAATGTACTCCATCTCTCTAAATTATTTGCTTGAGGCCAACTCTTTTTTGTCGTGCTGCTAGTTATGACTTTGCGAGGTTATTGTAATTGAGCAATTTGAATTGGGTCATCAATAGTGTTGAAATCAATATGCTAGCTAGATATGTGTCTCATAATACTTGTCGTTTTGATTTTTTTTTAACATTTGACCATTCGTTTTATTCAAAAATTATAAAATTATTATTTATTTTGTTTGTGACTTATTTTATTATCAAATGTATTTTAAGTATGACTTATCTTTTTTATATTTGGACAAATTTTTAAATAAGACGAATGGTGAAACGTTGCAGGCAAAAAAAAAAAGTCAAAACATCTAATTTGGGACGGATTTAGTATTTTTTTTTTCTCATTGTCCAACTGAACTTGGCAACTATTTTAACAATGTCTATAAAATGTATAATATGATCTTCCTGTGGTGGTTCAATACTTATTAGAAAATTATGGTCAAACAAAATGTAACATGTAAAATTAATGCTGCCTTGCAAAACCGTGGACAAATCTGATCAAAGCAGCTAACACTGGTGTTTCCTAACGATACGAGCAACAGTGTTTCTCTTTTTATAAATTCCGTGATAGCTTTTGCATCAGTTATATTGAACCCTGAACATGCCTTGATTATCTGCCCTTTCGGAAATTAGTCGGTAAATTAAGTAGTATATCGAGAGACCTGCACAATATTAGTGCTATAATACGTTAATTTGCATGTCGACCAGGGCGCGGCCGGAGATAATGTACTTTTATCTTCCTTAAGTAATTAAATTAACATGTTTGAGGAATGAGAATCTCAGAATCCACTGAATTAAACGTAGTAGCAGATTGGTGAATTCGGCTGTGATTGGATGGACCGAGTCCATATTCCAACTTTCCAAGCTTGGTCCGAGGCGTGAAGTCTCTATATATCTTGAACAACAAATGCATATACTCCCTCCATCCTAAAATGTTTGACGCCGTTGATTTTTTTTTAAATTATTGACCGTTCGTTTTATTCAAAAAATTTAAGTAATTATTAATTCTTTTATTATCATTTGATTTATTGTTAAATATACTTTTACGTATACATATAGTTTTACACATTTCAGAAAAGTTTTTGAATAAAACGAACGGTCAAATATGTTTAAAAAAGTTAACGGCGTCAAACATTTAGGAAATGAGGGAATATATATCTTAAAGACGAACAGCCAGTGACAGGCCGGCCTGTCACACTCAAGCTGGTACTAGGAATATATGATGGGTAGTGAACTGGTCCATCGTGCTTGTAGATTCTGCGTGTAGTATAAATGTGTAATGAACTCCTCAGAGGCATGCCAAAGCCAGACTAACGGGGTGTCCCAAACACCCCCTAAACTGTGAAACTCTCCGTCTGGAGCGTTTCTATACACGAAGCATATAAAAGCACAAAGCGAAAAATTTCAACTGAAACATGGCGACTAGGCAGCGAAGGCACTTCGCCCATCCGCAACACCTGCTTCTCCGGACGCACTACAGCACCACCTCGAGCCATTTCTGCGACATCTGCCGAACCAACGTCGCCGGCATGGTCGGCTACCGCTGCAACACCTGCGACATCGACATCCACGACGCCTGCGCCGATTACTTCGAGGAGACAGTCTCCTTCTTCGCCCACCCGTGGCACACCCTCACGCTCAGCACCATCCCCGACGACGATACCAACAGGTGGTCGTGCGACCTCTGCACGGAAAGCTGTCCCCGGGGAAGCTTCGTCTACCGCTGCGCACAGTGCGGCTTCGACGCTCACCCACTGTGCACGCTGCTCCCGCAGACGATCCGTAGCCCGCTTCACCCGCAGCATGATCTCAACATGGCCCCTTCATGGGGGACATGCTCAGCGTGTCATCAAGGCCTGAACATGTGGCACTACCGCTGTGGATTTTGCCTCTATAAGCTGCACGTCGTGTGCCCCTCTGGCGCGGCAAACGCTGGCCAAGGTGACACCAGCCGTTCTCACAACGCTGGTGCTGGTGCTGCTGCTGCTACGCCGGGCTCGAGCCGCGCCACTCGTATCGCCAAGTTCCTCCTCAGGACAAGTCTCAACATCGCGATCAACGCAGCAACCGGCGCGCTGGCAACACCGGTGCTCGATGTCCTTGCCACGGCCTTGGATGATCAGGAGTGATTTTCACATAATTTGATCAGTATATATGCACACGTATATATGCTTGTTGTCATGTGTGTACGTATCAGGCTCTATCAGCTCTTGACATGCGTGTTCTCGTTTCATTTCCTCTGGAGTTTCTTCTTCTCCAGTTAGTTTCCCCGTGCGTGCTTGATAAAACCACAACACACGTCGTAACGTGTGGTTCGATCTCCTGTAATATACAGCAGTTTAATTTATGGATTGTTTTTTGTGAACGGTGTCGTCCCGAGTTGCTAACATACTCTCGATCGGCCCACTAAACTACAAAGGCCAGCGTTGGCAAGATACCCAAAATGAGAGGAATAAGTTCACTCGAGATCTCTCAATTCGTCGCCGAGTTCGAAATTCATCTCCGAACCATAATACCAGATATGACGTATCGCTCAACTCCCAAAACCAAGTACAAATAAGGTCCCATGACGGTTTGGGTTGACGTGGCGCCTACGTGGATAGTGTGACTTGTCCTCGTCCCACGTGGCATTAGACTTGAGATTAAAAAATTAAAACAAAATATATGGACCCACATATCAGTCAAATAAAACTTAAAAAATATAGTGGGTCCCACTTCCCCCTTCTCTTCTCTCTGTCTCCTCCTCCCTTCGCTCCCAACAAGGAGTCAGTGGCGACGGCGCCCGACAATGAAGTTAGCAACGGGTGAGAGGTGGCCAACGACGAGGAGCACGGTGATGGGGAGGCTGACATGCTGGGGGCACTAGCGCCACTCTCCTCCTCGTCGTCGATGGCCGCGGGGCCCTCGCTGATGGTGGCTATGGCCAGGGAGATGTCGGCGGTAGCCTCGGTGTCGGGGGTGCCCGCCGGGGCCTCCTCCTCCTCCTCCTCCGGCTCCTCGCTCGGTCACCGAACCCACATGGCTGTGCCGTCGCGGCCGTGGGAGTCCCACCAAACGGCGTCGAGGTGTGCGAAGAGGAAGCAACTGGCGCACGCTTGAACGGCGGGCTGGTGGAAGGGCGGGCTACCGGGAAAGGAGGGCCGTGCGGCTGGCGGCGGCATCGCCATCCGTGAAGGCCTCGCGGCTCGCCCGGCGGCGCCGTGGGGCCGCGGGAGATCTAGAGGTTGGAAAACGCCCCGGGGAGGGCGGTAGGGTTTTGCGCCACGGCGGCGAACGGTGGCGGTGGCCGCGACTGCCGGAGCAACAAGGCCGGAGCAGCTGTTCTAGCCGACGTTGGTGAAGAGCAGCGCGACGACGGTGACCCCTGTGAGCGTGGCGAGGATGGTGCCGTCCTCGAACTCCATCCCGAAGAGCTGCAGCGGTTGTCCCGCTGCCGACATGGGCCGCGCGAAGTAGAGGAAGAACTAGGCGGTGCAGAGGGCGTGGAGCGCGAAGAGCGTCCCCGGGTGCCAGAGCAGCGACGACGCGGCGACGACGAGCGCGTAGTTCGCCCGGAAGTAGGCCGTGTTCCACCTTGCCTTGGCGATGGCCTCCCCGACGCTGGGCGACTTGGAGAAGGCCGGCGCCCGGAACGCCTCCCCCCACGGCCGCCTCGCCGCGATGAGCTCCTGCCCCAACATTTTTCTTAAGTAAAATACAAGTTACATATAAGTTATACAAAAGTTACTTTTTCCGTCACAAAATATTGTAAATTAGGACCATGAACATAAACAAAAGTCTATCCTAGGTTGCAACATTTTGCGATGGAACTATATATAATGTAATTACACCTATAGTTATATCTTTTTTTCTTTATTTTTGGAATACTTGTGAAATATTTTTAGATAATACCAAAAGGAAACCACTTGTAGAATTTTTGGAGTAATCATTTCACCACACATACAAATAGTTGCATATCTTTCGTAGGGATGAAAATGGGATGGGTAATTCCCGATCACCCACCCGATCCGAGGCTCGCAGGAAGAATATACGAGAAAAACAAATGTGACACCTAGTACTATCTGAGTACAAATCCGAATCCGTAAAAAAAATTGTGTTACGACAAAAAAGACTTGTATACGCCCGTATGTTCCATATTATAAAACATATATGAAAATATATTATAAATCCACTTACAAACATGATAAAAGATTGTTTAATCACTATGTTACGAGTTACAATGTAATATTGTACATTTTTTTCTCTGATGTATCTCTTTCAACAATTAATTATTTCCTTATATTTAATACATATAAATTAGAGTTACAAATATATATACGTTCTCAAATTCGATTAGAAGGAACTAGTATAAGATAAGATATAAGATGAGTGATATCTTATCCGACACACTAGTTGTATCTGGCTTCGAGTTTAAAGAAAAATATGAGCTAGTATATGATAATGTCATAATCCGACCGTGTATATCTACCGCTCGTTTTCACCACTAATCTTCTGAAACTAAAGACCAAACGGTCCACATATATACTTTAACTAGCTAGCTCGGCTGCTATAGGCCTATAGCTATATATGTCACGTGTTCAAACTGGCACGTTCGCATGATCGAACTCGTTACGACAAACGCCAAGAATGTTTTGTGCGATTATTACAGACAACAAGCACACGCGTATATACTTATACGTAACTGGACAAATCGCTCGGATGTACGTTTATATAGCTACTAGTAATTAATCACCCGAGCCCAGCGAAGCTTACAGGGCGTTAAAGACGTCCACCATGCCATTGGCAGCTGGAAATCCGCCGCCAGCTGCTGCTCCGCGAGTCCGCGACCACGACGATCGAGAAACCTCGCGACGATGGCGGGGGCTGGAGCAGCAGCAGCTCCGACGTCGTCCTCACGACCACTGCTACTCTGCTCCGGCGTCGTCGTCGGCGGGACGCCGGAAACACAGCCGCCGATGTGAAGCACGAACATGCAGCCGCCGCCGCAGCGGTAGTGCCGCGTGCGCATATGGAGCAATCTTGGCGGCAGACGGAGCAGACCCGGGCCATCTCGGCGGGTGTGCACGGGCCGCTCTGGGACGACGACGAGATGAGCCCGGAGTGGGTGAGTGCGTGCTCCCGGTGGAGCGGGCTGCGGATCTCTCCCGGCAGCATCGTGCGCAACGGGGTGCGCGGCGAATTCACCCGCAACGCTGCGGCGCGCAGCGGTAGGCGAGGTGGCCGTGCTGGAAGGGACCCCGGCACAGGGTCGTTCGCCATGATCCGCCGTGATCTGTCTGAGCGTGAGATTAATGTGCGACCACGGATGCCCGAAGAAGTTGGGCGGGGGTGTAATCATTTTCTCCGGGAAGAAGTTGGCGCAGGCCTTGGCCTCGTGGATGTCGAAGTCGCAGTGGTCGCAGCGGTAGCCGGCGCCGGTGACGACGCGATCGAGTCCCGCAGATGCGGCAGACGTGGCTGCTGATCGGCTGCCGCTCGCCGCCGCCGCCGTACTGTGTCTTGATAAGCGGGTGCTGTGGATGGGCAAAGTGCGTCCGGCTCTCGGTCAAGTGATTGCCGGATGCTGCTGCCATGGTAAGCTATGATTTGTTTATGCTAGCTTTGATATACTGTATGCCCTTCGTTCACAGGCCTCGTGCACTTAAAAAGGGTTCATGTGTCAACTCTGATTTCTGAACAATGTACTCCCTCAGTCTCCTAACATTACTGAATATTTGACACCGTTGGCTTTTTATAATATGTTTGTCCGTTCATCTTATTAAAAACAACAACAACAGGATGTATTGTTGTCGTCGTCATCGGGGGAGGTCTACTGCACGGACGCACGCGAGATATACAAGACGCGAACGGATTCAAAATTTCCAGTTTTGTCTACCGCGTGCATGGAGAAACAGATCCAAACTTTCCTGATTTGGTTAGCCTATCGTGAAACTCTAGAACTCCAAAAGCACGATTCTTTCGCACGATGTGCGCGCTGCTGCTGCACCGCACGTTATTAGCTCCTAGCTATAATAGACCAGCATGATTTTACAATTTTTCTTGTTTTACTATGTTGCGTACTGTAAGATTGGCTAATGCGCCATTCTATCTGGTCATTTTGATTAGAGTTTTTTAATATATTTTAAAATTTAATTCAGAAATTTAGTAGTACTTAAATATTCGATAGTACATTTCGAATGGAAACTTTACGTATAGAAACTCTTTACGCACAAACTTTATATATATAAACTTTATGCACATAAATATTATATATAAAAACTTTATGCATATAAACTTCATTTACGAGAGTTTATATATTTAGTTAGAAAGTACGATGAAAAATTTCAATGAAGAAAAGGGAGTTAATCAAGTGATATTTCTTTTATAAAATAGGAATGCAATTTTATACATATACGTATATGTATAAATATTATGTATAAAAATTTATATATGTAATTAGAATGTTTAATAATGTATATATAAATTTTAACAGAAACATAAGGAGTTAATCAAGGATATATATTTTTTTTAAAAAAACGTCCGTTGCGACGAACCAACATTGTTGACGTACGTGAACACGTGTACGATTCTAGGAGAATAAAATAACATAGGTATGGGTGGACTTGGTCTTTGAAAAGGCAGGCTTAGAGCAACTCTCATGTGAACACGTATTTGCATGCAGGCGTGGTTAGACGTACGAGTAAGAGGAAGGTTGTCGGAACTGTTCGCGTGACTGTCTAATAGTAGCGAACATTCGTGTACACCCTCTTTGTCCTCTCCTCGAGCGGACTTGCGGTCTTGCGTGCGTGCAACCGCTAAAGCCCAGTAGCCCTCGTGCGGCCAGCCCATAAAAAGCACGACCTGAGTACGATGGATGTTGGTACGAGTAACTACTGGAGTAGTAAGTACTATTTGACCAAGTCATGCACACGTACTTTCGAATGTCAATGCGTGTCAAGTTAGAAAGCTTTGTTGTTTTCCTCTGCCACCAAGGTCTAGGGGGTTGCAAGGAATCGAGGATCGCTGACTTCTCAATTTATGCTTATCATGAACTTGCATTGGCATTAAGTATACATGTACATATGCTCCACCGATTCAACACGCTCACTCATTAGTCACTTATACTGTTTGGGTCAAACCAAATAGAATGAATCTCCTATCGAGTTTCACAGAAGTGAAACTAAAAAGACTATCTCACCGATGCATTCATAATCACTACAAATAATACAACTTTTTTTTAATAATAAATAAAATGATGGTCTCTATATCAAGTGGATATACACAAGGGACACAGAAAAATAGATATATTCCAGGTCTCATAACTTGGAAACTACAAAATAAACAAAATAAAATGGAAAAAGACTGTAACCCTAAACCCAGATGTTCTCTTACTTGACGAGTCCTGCCGAACCAAAAACGACACTAAGTCGATCTTGAAAGTTGAAACGCCGCCTAAACTAATGTAGTACCCACATCCTCAATCTATCCACCTCTAATCCCCATGTTGCCTTTGCCATAGGCAAGATTCAATCGATCCAGATCCGATAGCTCCTAGCCCCTTGTGCCTTCGCACGCTAACATCATCCAGATAAAGTGAAGAAGAAGAAGATCCTCCAACATCAAGTTGCAACTATACGTACGGACGGATTCGGGCACAAACACATCATAACTAGTGGCACTTAGATACTAAATATAGAGTCACGCCTAGCCATCATCAGGAAATTGTCGCTTCAGCTCCTCATTGTAGCCGCCTTGCTCACTACCGATCTGACCATTAGGCTTGATCTAGATACACTTGTTGCCGCTGAATGAGCCTGCCGTCTATCTTTCTTGCTGTAGCCTCCTCGCTCACTTGAAGGGCGATCTGGCCATTAGACTGGATCCACACTGGATGTCGTCGACACCACCTTAGTCATGCCAACATTCCATGTTACCATCGTTAAACCACCGTAGGCCAACTAGCTACCACCGCCACCAATGCCTGGGCTCCCCGCCTACCACCACCGCCGCTCCCCGTCGTTGAGGAAAATGAGCACTAGGACACAACCACTGACGGAGCAATGGCAGAGCCAACCTTCTTCTAGATGGCACAAGGACCATACGACACGCCACTGGCTCTTTTCATCTCCATCGCCGCAGGAATCTTTGAGAGGGGGAGCCCCAAGGAAAACATAGAACTATGCATAACAATTTGCTCTGCCAGGCTAGTTTACCATATAGTTATTCTTAAAACCCAAAGGAATTTTGGTTGTTAACTTAAGCAGATTTTAATTAGAGTTATTTTGTTCACTTTCCATGTTAATTAGCAACGAAAAAAAAGAGAGCTCGACAACAAAGGCTGTGAAGAAAACCCCTAAAATTCCATATCAATTGTTTCATCTCTCCCCTATATTCTATCATCAATTACCTTTTTCAACACTAGATCGATATGAAACAACTCTCAAGTGTATTTTTTACTTTTTCTGGATGAAATAAATAATGCTGTAACTTAAAATTGAAACTTATACACCTTTACCATGGATCCTTGTCAATATGAAGAAAAAAAAGATATTGCTATACATTTGTTGATATTTTTTTCTCCTAAAACTTTATCAAATGTAAATACGGTATAATTATCGCGTAATTACATTGTAACTTGCATGTATTTTTTTTAAAATTTTAAATTGTTAGATGTGCTTCAAGATTCATGCAAGCGGGAATTAAAAAACCATGGCAAGCATAAAGGTGATGGGATTCCGTCGCATGATGTCCGCTTTGCGGAAATAAGGTATTACCGCGCGTCCCTCCATCACGTACGAAACGTCTGCTTCCCACAAATAACGTGTTACCGTGCGATTTTTAAAAGTTACATGCAAATTTTATTATAGTTAAATTCAAATTATAATATAATTACACTATGATTATGTTATATTTACATCTATTAATCTTTTAGAAGAAAATTTATCAATAAATATAATGAAAAAATAGAGTAAAATTTACAAAAATACAGATACTTTTACTAAATTATCACAAAACTGCAGATTTAAGGTGGTGTATCACAAAGCTATATATTTTATATAATATTATCATAAAACTACAAGTTTAAAACTAGGTATGGCAAAACTATAAATTTAATAATAAAATTAATTAAACTACAGATTTTAGAGTTTAAATTCTTAGTACTAATGTTATGTTTGAATTATCAACATCCAAGTTTTGTGATTAAATTGATGTTAAACATTTAGTTTTGTGATACTCAACTTTTGTGGTAATTTTAGTGTTAAATATATAGTTTTATGATATATTATTTTAAATCTGTAGCTTACAATAAATTACTCAAATATACTTGTAGTTTTGTGAAATTTATATAAAATAAATTGCACACGTGTTAAGCGCAACAACACATCTAGACTATTCTTTCGAGTTTCAAGTGCATGCTCCGGGTGAATGTGGCTAACTCACGTACTTATCACATTTACCGTGTATACAAATCATAATTTTGACATATCTTTTGTCTGTATTGGAAAAAAAAAACACCACTAAGACCGATGACTCGAAAGTCGAAACTACTATATATATATATATATATATATATATATATATATATATATATATATATATATATATATTAAATTTGTTTGGTGCTCCATGGTGCCCGGGCACCATGATTGAAATTTACTATATACCCAATTCAAATGAGTATGAAACTTTTTCAAATATTTAGGTATTAACATTAACTACTTTACTAACTAGTTCAAAGCAAGTTTGAACTGAATTCAAACTTGCTTTTGTTAGATTTTGATTCTAGGTATATAGCATCCAAACATATAATTAGTTAGGTATGTAATAATGGATTGTGAAATAAAGTTAAATTTGAGTTGTTTTGTTGCTAGGTATAGGTATGAATCGAATACTTATAACTAAGTATATACTCACAATTTGAAAATTTTGAAAAATTTGGGCGAATTTGTGTATTTCATACCATGGTGCCCGGGCACCATGGTGCCCCATATGAGTGTCCTATATATATATATATATATATATATATATATATATATATATATATATATATGTATGTATGTATGTATGTATGTATGTATGTATGTATGTATGTATGTATGTATGTATGTATGTATGTATGTATGTATGTATGTATATGTACTCATATGCCACTCAGGACAACTAAGCATTCACCTCCTGCACAACGAAAACCAAGCATTATCAGCCCACAGCTAGGCCACACGAAGCTAGCGATTCGATACATCGATATATATATCAATATGGCTTCCGCCAGATACACTACCTGGTTACACCCGGAGCACTCGCTAACGAGGCGCGTTTACGGCGGCAAGCGGGGCGCTGCCGGTGTCTGCAACGTGTGCGACCGCACCATCTCCGGCGGCAGCTACGGCTACAGATGCGGCGGCGGCGCCGCGTGCGGCGGCTTCGACGTCCACGAGGCCTGCCTCACCCTGCCGAAGCGAGTCAAGCTCGGCCGGCGCCATCGCGACCACGAGCTCACGCTCTCCGTCCTCACGGCCAGCCGGCGGTGCGTCGCCTGCAGGGAGACCTCCGACGCCGGCCGCTGCATGTACCGCTGCGTGGAGTGCGACGTCGACGTGCACCCGCGGTGCACGCCGCTGCTGATGGAGGCCGGCGGCGCCAGCGGCCGCCGCTGGCCGCAGCATGGTTGGAAGCGTCGAGCGGCGAAGCGCGTCGCCAAGGTTGCTCTCAACTGCGTGTTGGAAGTGGTGATTACAGTAGTGACCAGCGGGAATGATTAGGGTAAATCCATTTATTCACTGAATCTACCGTAAATTTGTCATAGTAGATTCTTAGGGTCGCTCCATAAATGTAAATGGATCAAACGGTTCAAACCATTAGAACCTAGGTTTAAGGGGTTCGACCCAAAATGACTTCACATGTATAAATGTTTCAAAAATTTATACAAAGTTGCTTCTCTTTATAATAAATCATTCCTATACAAAAATCAACTAAATTTAACAAGTTTTTATAGCGTTAACGCGAGTTTATAAATTTTGGGTCCGAGTTTTACACACATGTAACTAGAATTTTTGAATCTTAGTAATGCATCGTGGGCCCCGCATGTCTAAATGGCTTAAAATTTGTACCAAGTTGCTTCTCCATATAATAAATCATCTCTACAAAATTCAACTAAATTTGATAAAGTTTTTATAATGTGAACGCGAGTTTTAAAATTTTGGACCCGAGTTTTACATACATATAATAAGAATTTTTTTTTACTACTAGAATAGATGATCCATTTGGATATCTATGGATAGCATATTGATATAATAGACTCATGATGGATTGACTCTATTAAATTATGGATGAATGAACTCACTTAAAACGGTTTAAAACAGTTTAAGTTCAATCCATATCCTAACCATTCCCATCCTGGACTGTTCCATATCGCCTGGACATTACCGGTGTGGCCTATGTATATGTTCGTGCTCCATATCGCCTGCGCGCGTTTCTCCGGCCGGCACCGAGGGGAGACGACAGCGTCACAGCGGTCCCCGAGTCCGCGCTGCCAACCGAATCCGCGTGGGGGCAGAAGCGGAAATCGGAGCCGAAGGAGACGACTAAAACTCCCGAGTCCACGCCGCTGGATGGCCGGGAACGGAGAGGTATAGTTCTGGTTCAGGAAACTCTGACAGAAAACGTAGTAGTAGCGCTCAACCGAGTAGCTGATAGGAACGGTGCCTAAGGTTTCAGATTCGACTTTCTACTCTAAACCACGCAAGTTGTAAATTTTCTGAATTTTCGATGAGAAAATTCCAACACATGTCACAGTTGCTTCTGTTACGTTCCATGGCGTGTTCCGTATTTAGTATTTACAGGTTCAAATCAATGTATACGTCTCCACATTTCAACATGTCGTGTACGTACCCGATCGAAACTGAATCAGGTCGGAGCGAAAGAGCCAAGTTGCAGAGGAAGAATGAACCGCGTAAACTCCTGTTACCAACTTGCAGAGGAAGAAAGAGTCGAGATAGAATTTAGAGAGGAGTTGAACGAGAAAGAGACAAGTTGGCGAGGAGGAGAGATTTAAGTATAGTGATAGATTTAGATTACGGGTGTGTTTAGTTCGTGAAAAGAAAATTTTTGGTTGTCATATCGGACGTTTGATCGAATGTCGGAAGGAGTTTTCGGATATGAATGAAAAAACTAATTTCATAACTCGCCTGGAAACCACGAGACGAATTTATTAAGCCTAATTATTCCATCATTAGCACATGTAGGATACTGTAGCCCTTACGGTTAATCATGGACTAATTAGGCTCAAAAGATTCATTTCGCGATTTTCATGTAAATTGTGCAATTAGTTTTTAATTTATCTGTTTTTGGGACTAAACAAGGCCTACAATTCAAGTCCCGTTTCATTCCCCTCCTAGCCTCTATTTATAGATCACTAGTTAGGGGACTGCTAATGGGTGACTGGGCGCGCGCCCAGTCGCTCACGCGGTCAGGCATATGCTACAGTATACTACTACTCCTATACTACTACTAGTAGTACTACTACACTGTTTTTTGAAACTTAAACATTTATATTAGAGCAACAGATCAAGAGGGCAAGCCCCCGAACATCGTCAACAGAAACAGCAAGATGCACAGAATAGAAAACTGGACCAAGAACATAAACAACCTCCTGAAACTAGGCAGCGCAGAAGGCGCGAATCGACAGGGAGCAGCGGCGAAGCCGCGACGATTGCAACCTTGGGTCTCCTTTAGCATGCAGACCGCTTGACGAACCAGTAATCCCCTTCGGTCGCCTTCATAGAAATTGCACAAATTGGAGATTTGCTGTTGAGCCGTAGATTTTGGTGTAGGTTTCACCGGACTCAACCAAACTTCACCATGGATCGAGTTCGCCATTGAATCTGAGGAGCTTGAGCTCAACCCAAATGGCACACCCAGCGTGGATGCCACTGCCCGGAGACAAAGAGGAAGAAGGATCCCAGATCCAGCCACCCTGATGCAGTGAAGAGCACAACCATCGACGAATGAACTGTTCTCTATAGCACAACGTTGGGGAAGAGCGGACTTGCACAAGGTGGAGCAGAAGCACCAGACTCACACCACCGACGCCGACGTAGGCCAAACGGCGCGATCATCACTGCCAAAGGCAGCAACAGCGCAGCCGCGGGCAACGTCAGCAGCCGCCGCCGCCTTGGGCCGCATCCACGCCGCCGCCACCGCAGCGGATCACCGCATCCTAGCCACTGCCGCCGCCGCAGACCGCATCCGAGCAGCCGCCGCTGCCGCGGACCACCTCCGAGCCACCGCCTCCGCTGCAGACCGCTTCCAAGCCGCCGCCGTCGCTGCGAACTGGATCCGCGCCACCACCGTCATCTTCGGTCGTATTCGTGTCGCCATCGCCGAGTTTGGCTACATCCGTAACGCCGCCGCTGTCTCCAACCTCCATACCACACCAACGAGAAGAAAAAACAGGAAGAACCCGACCTAACGAGACTAGCCCGGCTACTAAACTATACTAGGGGAGGGGGGACGACCCCTCTCCCTCCCTCCGCCGGCGACGAGGCCGCCGGAATCGAGGAGGAAAAAACTGTAGCAGGCGAGGATTCGAGAGCGTTGTGGATTGGTGCACTGCTAGCTAGCTACTGATCGTACACAGTTGCTATTACTATACTAGTATACTACTAGTACTACTGCTACACTGTTGTATAAAAAACTTTGTGTACGTGTATACAAACTTTGTATACGTAAATACATACATATTTAAAAACCCGAAAACGAAGAAAAAACAAAAAAAACACCACATATACAAACTTTGTATACGTAAATACATACATATTTAAAAAACCAAAAACCAAGAAAAAAACACCACGTATACAAACTTTGTATTCGTACGTATGTAAAGTTGTACATATACAAACTTTGTATATGCACGAATACAAAATTTATATACGTATAAGTTTAAAACTGAAAGAAACCAGGGGGAAAAACCAGAAAAAAACGAAAAGAAAAACCGAAAGAAAAAAAAAACGAGAAACGCCAAACCAGGGAAAAAAACAAGAAAAAAAACGAAAAGAAAAACGGAAAGAAAAAAAAACAAGTTATTTGTGTTACTGTGTATATATTCGCAATCGCACCCCGGAATATCAAGCGCAACACGAAGAGCAGAAACACGTACAGTAATACGTAAAAACAGTACGCTGCTCCTGCACCGTGCGGGAAGAAAATTATGTAGGACTGAGGTCCTACCCTCCTCCGAAAGACTTGCTCCTCTATGCGACACCTGTCCCACACGAATCTCAGAGCAGCTTACTCCCTCGTCTCTCCAGTTCACCATTCTCTTCCTCTGCTCGGTGAGGCGGCGAGCTCGCGTCCGACCAGCGGGTGAGCGGCATGAAGCTCGGCAGGCTGTCGCTGTCGCCGGAATCAAACGATATCAGTAACGTGAAAGCATCCAAGCTCGCATGAGGCGCTCGTCGAGAAGAAACATCAATACATTAACGCTATAATCCTAAAATGCTCACCCGGCAAAAAGAAGAAATCCTTCAAGTCAATCACAAGCAATGATTATCAGTGCAGTACACCATACAGAACAAACTCAATGGCAAGAAAAATCAAATCATTGAATAATTTCGCTATGAGGCAAGAAAAATCGAATGAGTGAATAATCATGTAGCAGATTCGAGTCGACAGCGCAGTCTCGTCCAAATCATGAGAGTTCTTCTAGCAGACTAGCGGCACGCAAGCTGGCAGCGCGAGCTTGGACTTGATGCTGCTCGACGCCACGGGGCGCGGCCGTGCGGACGGTCGGGCTAAAGCTCGCTGGTCGGACGCCAGCTTGCCGCCTCACCGAGCAAAGGAAGAGAATGGGGAACTGGAGAGACGAGGGAGTAAGCTGCTCTGAGATTCGTGTGGGACAGGTGTCACATAGAGGAGCAAGTCTTTCGGAGGAGGGTAGGACCTCGGTCCTACATAATTTTCTTCCCACCGGGTGTCGTGTGACTACTTGCTTGCCATGGAAAACCGCTGGCACTTTGCTCATCCACAGCACCAGCTTCAGAGGTGCACATACAACCAGCGGATCAGAGCCACCGTGCCTGCAACATCTGCGAGCTACCTGTCACCGGCGTCGGCTACCGCTGCAACCACCACTGCAGCGACTTCGCCATCCACGAGGCTTGCGCCGACCGCTTCGCCCGGGACACGATCGACGGCTTCTTCGCGCACCCGCGGCACCCGCTAACCGCGGCCACCGCCTCGGCGGCGAACCCCGGGTGGTGCGACCTGTGCCAGGGACCGATCCAGCCCGGGCGCCTCGTGTACCGCTGCGCGGAGTGCGCGTTCGACGTGCACCCGCTGTGCACGCTGCTGCCGATGACCATCCACCCGGCCGCGCGCCGGCGCCGGGTGCCCCGGAGGCCACGTCCTCAACTTGGTCCCGGCGCGCGGGGAGTGCGCGGCGTGCTGCCTGGACTGCTCCATCTGGCATTACCGGTGCGGCCTATGCTTGTTCATGCTCCACATCGGCTGCGTTTCGCCGGCCGGCGCCGGCGGTGCTCCAGCTGGTACGAGGGGTTGGCCTGCCACCGGCGGCGGCGGCGGCGGCTGGGGCGGCAGCGGTGGCAGTCCCATCGTGAGGTTTCTGATCATGTTTGCCCGGCAACTGGCGGTGAATTTGATTGTCAATGATATTACGGACATCCTAAATGCGCTACAGTAAGATGTGTGTGTTTATATAGGTGATTGTTGTGAGCAACTGATAGCACCGGGATAGTTGCATAAGTTGCAAGTAAATGGATATTTGAGCTTCATCTTTCGTAATTGGTGTTCTGGGTGCGAGGAGTGGGTGATGATGCTCGCCATCCTAGCTTGGAGATGCAAAAGATGTTAAAATTTTTGTGCTAGTATTTTTTTTTACTCCCCCCGTTTCTAAATATTTAACGCCGTTGACTTTTTTTAAACATGTTTGACCGTTCGTTTTATTCAAAAACTTTTATGAAATATGTAAAACTATATGTATACATAAAAGTATATTTAACAATGAATTAAATGATAGGAAAAGAATTAATAATTACTTAAATTTTTTAAATAAGACAAACGGTCAAACATGTTTAAAAAAAAGTCAATGTCGTCAAATATTTAGGGACGGAGGGAGTATCTTTAAAAATAATGTCAATATATATAAAGCAAGAAACATCTATTTGCTCTCGAGATGAAAAGCATTCAAACAGTGACGTGCGTATGAATTTTTTTAGCCTGAACAAGCCTTATTAGATATAAAAACTATATGCACAAAACCGAACAATAACTTCATAGACTATTTATCATAGATAACTTCATAAACCGTCATTGATGATCCGTTAGAGGTGAGCGGATTGGCTTAGTAGTTTATTATCCACGAAAGATAAGGTCTGCTATAGAGTTGTGTTGCTTTGGCTCTATGGTCACAGAAGTGATGGTTTAGCCCTTGTTTTGCTTGTTAATTTGTTGAGTAATTATATAATTAACCTTCCGTAGAACAAACTAAGTAATGTAATTAGATAAATAATAATTAGTAATATGCATATATAATTGTGGGTGGTGTGAAAATGTTTATGTAATGTGTATGGCATCGTTTGAGATTTTTATTTGAATTGAATATAGATTGGAGATATGGAGTTTGTTTTTCATGAAGAGCGCATCCAATAAATCCACACAGCTATATTTTAGATCCACCCTATAATTAATGGTTTAGATTTTTTTTCTCATATTAATATGTAATTTGAGAGCAAACATAAAAGCTTATTTCTTTGCTATTACACTTTAATAAGATAATAACCCTTCGGTCCTTCCATTTCAAAATAACTTTAAGTTTAGACTTGGATGTTCAAAACAATATAGAAGAAAAAACACCAAAGTGTCACTCACTAATAGGAAACTAGTATGTGTGGATAGGTAGATAGGTAGGT